ATATTACTTATATGCTGCCTTATAATTTTACTTACCTATAAACACAACACTGTGTTCAAAAAAATCGGTTTTCAGGTTAGAGAATCTGGTACCTACCTCAAGATCTTTGTCATTGTCACTCAGTCTCTCACTCTCTGTACTATGAATGTCGTCAACAAAAAAAAATAATTTATTTTTGTTTTAAAAAAACTGATTGTAGAAGTCCCACACTGTTTCGACACCGTAAGCGAGAACTGCAGGCACCCGTTGATTTTGGAATAACTCACGCAGGTTTAAACCTGCAAAAACATTTCTATAATTCCCAAGGACTGCTGCTCTTGCCCGTTGTAATTTGGATGCAGGGAACAACTCCACCAACAACAAATCGGTAAGACCTGCGTCCTCTACAATCGGACCAAGAAAGGCTCCAACTTTCAACGCGAGTCGGATTGATTCTAACTCAGAACGTGTTGGGTTGGGTGAGTGAAGCACTACATTTTTGTTTGATAAAGATAAATAAGTTAAGGTGATTTTGAAAACATCATTGAACAACTTACAAGCATGTTGGCGCACGGTGAGCACCCTATCATTTATTAAAAAAAGGATCAAAGCCAGAAGAAGGTCTCGAACCTGTGATGCGGCCATGTTTACTTCTAAGAAAATATACTCCTTTACGACCGTATTCAACTCCAACTGCCCTCTAGCAACACGATCAAAGGGCAATCGAATGGCATTTGTGGTGGTTATGATTGCGTGTACAATAGCACCAGGAAAACATCGAAAACGGTCACCAACTAGAGAGAGATACAACATTAGATGCAGGTTACTTTAATCGAGTAACCATTACCATGGTAACAAACTTACCTTCATACTGACGGGCGAAAACGTCAGAGGGAGGGTCCGCCACAAAGGGAGCCGCAGGAGAAGCCGCAGGGGAAGTCGCCCCAAAGGGTGCCGCAGAAGGAGCCGCAGAAAAGGGCGCAGGAGTAGCCGCAGGAGGAGCCGTACCAGGAGCCACAGGCGAAGCCGCAAGGGTAGCCGCAGGAGAAGCCACAGGTGAAGCAGCCACAAAGGAAAGCCGCAGGAGGAGCTGCTGGCAGAGGAGCAGGAGGAGCTGCAAGAGAAGCCGCAGAAGAAGACGCCATAGAAGCAGGGGCGGCAAAAGATGCAGCGGCAGAGAACACCGGCCGAAATAGGGATCGATAAGAGCAAGAACGCTATCAGAAGAAGAAGAAGAAGAAGAAGAAGAAGAAGAAGAAGAAGAAGAAGAAGAAGAAAGCAGAGAGAGAAAGAAAGGGACTGAGACAATAGAAGCAAATTAGCGACAAGCAATTTGATTTGGACGCATATGCCATTTTTTGATTTAGATGTAAAAAAACGAGAGCTATCCAATGGTACTAGTCCTGAAGTCTAGACATCGGTAGCCATTGTAAAAAGTACGTTTAAATACCAGCATCTACACACACCTCATTTTCACGACTGGGTTCGATTCCTATAAGAGACAAGTTTAGGCTGCTGACATCGAATAAAATAAATTGGGATCCTAAATACATGTACTAATACAGACAAGCGCCGTTTTTTTAAATATTTTTTTTTGAAGGCCAATCTTTTTCCAAAACCTGCTTTTTAAAAAAATATAAATAATAAAATAAATATTATCCTGGAACTAGTGCAATTCGATTTTACTAAACTATCGGCAAGATTTTTTTTATTTTGTTCCGGTTTTACCTTTTCTTTTTTCCTTTTCTCTGTTTCAATTTAATTTCTCAATGAATTCTCAAACTCAGCAACAAATTTTTCTCATCTTCAAAATGTTAAGACAACAACAAACTGTTCTTTATGCATTTAGTGAAAACATTGCTGCCAAGAACCAAGAAATTGTAGATTTGTTGTACCTTACTGTCATTAATGTGCGTTTGCGTGGAGAACAGCAATTGCAGTACGACTTTTTTGCAGCCGATTTCTCGAGGAACTTGGAATGGCTATTACTTCCATGCCTTTGTTAATACTGGAGAAATTATCAACAGAACGTGAAATAACGGTGTGGGTGCCACAAGAGTGTCTGAAAGATACACTTTTTGGGAGGTACAACATCCCAACCTTAGCGACGACGACGAAAAACAAGTAGATTGCTTCCGTGCCCCATATCAAATGGGAACGGACTCTTTAAATTGGTTTGTCAGCAGGCTGTCTACTCATCCTGAATTTGATTTCAAGACACCAAACAACGTTCCTATCTCCATCCCGATAGCTACCTGTCTTTTAAGACTGGCCAATTGTCCTTTTGGATACAAAAACATGTATGTCCTGTATGGTTTTTTGTATGGCAGCTATACCAATTTCACGAGGCGTACGGTAAAAACCATCCAAGATGTGCTTAGCTATATGATGGATTGGCCTACCAATTTAGCCATAGCGAGCGCTATATCTGCTGGATTCAACGAAGCCCTCGGTGTGAGTATTCTTGATGCAATTGGTGCTATTGATGGCAAAAAACTTTACCATTCATAAGCCAACTCCAGCCGATGATGGAGCAGGGTTCCGTGACAAAAAAAAAACTACACCATTAAACTTACCGCTGTTTGTGACGATACATGTATGTTTACTTACATTCGCCAAGGAGACTCTGGTAGTAATGACCAATATAAAGATAAGAGTTGGAAACTAATTTACTTTGAATACACCACGGAGAAGTCACGATGCCTCAGCCTATAATTCCAGTGATCTCAGCTGGAAGATCATGAACAATCCTGGGCATTACTTCCCTAAATGAATTTATTTTCTCGGTGATTCGGCCTATCCTACCATTGCCAATTCGGTTACACCATTCCCTTAAAGTGAATGTCTCCGGGATCCGCGCAAGAGGTTATTCAACTATCCGCATTCAGCCAGAAGAATGGCCATTGAAAGAACTTTTGGTAAGTTCGTTCATCAGTGGAGATTCACACAATTCCATATTTACGTGTATAATAATTTGGATATCAATGATATCATCGGTTCGTGTGCTATTCTACACACTGCATGAACGGCAAGATGGGAGCTAGGTTTCGATGGCTTGGTTCTTGAGCCTGCTGGTCTTGTAGTTGGAGAGCAGGATGATACATGTGTTATAGGTAACCGTGCCCGCTTGGGCATCTTTAATCCAGCTTTCCTTAAATGTGTCAAGTACCAAATTTTTTTGAAAAATAAAACAAATTTATTATTGAAGAAAAAAGCCCATTATATGTTAGTCGATGTTATGAGGTTTATATTCATCGGACAAAGGATAAGTGATATCAAGCAAGTCTGACGGAACAGGAGAAACCGTCGTGACATTGCCATCGATCGCATGTCATTGGCAGAGGGGGTGGAGGCAGTGTTGTATGGGAGGGTGCTGTTGGAAAGTGTGCTTCTGACGACGATGTTGCTGGTGTTGGTGTTGTTGGCGTGGGTGTTGTTGTACGCGCTGGTGCTGCTGGCAGAAGGACTGTTGTACTGATAGTCATTGGCTTCAGGAATACCATTGACATCTGGGCGGAAGTAGTGGCTGGTGTGGTTGGTATAATTGTAGTCACTGTTTTCAAACGCATTGTAGCTGGTGGCGTTGTTGTTGCTTGAGCCGAAATCCCCTTTCATTACCATCAGCATCTGGCGCTCGATATCCAGACTGGCCTGCAACAGCACGGCGATGCGAGACTGCACCTGGTCCTGTTTGTCCATGGACTTCAACGGCTGACCAAAAAACGTTGTCGAAGGAGCAAGATTTCTACTGAACGTTCTACGCTCAGGCTCTCCACGCTTAAAACAACGTGCCTCAATCTCCTTAATAGAGGTCACCAGATGCTCGATCGATCGGTTGACCCCTCTACTTCTACTGGCAGCCCCATGAGTCACACCCTCCTCAGCACTATTGTCTTCGACGGTCCTTCCTCGTCTAGCACTGACAGCCTCACCACGAATATCGATCGTCTCTCCAGGAAGAGAGGAATACACAGTACGTGGGATCACGGTGGGCATCTCAATGGTGGCGTTCTCCATCGCATCATGGTAAGTCCAGTTTTCAATTGGTTCCCTACCAGTCGCATTCAACCTGTCATTTCGATGTCTGAAGGCAGCACAGAAAGCAGAACACTTAGACTTTAAAGCACTCGTAGACATTCTTTCTTTGGTGCTGGTTTTGGTGTTGAATGCGTGCAACATGACACGGTACAACTCATTTCGTTCAGCTGAAGTACGAGTGGACTCCAGCCGGTTGTTGTTATTAGCATACAATTCAAACAGGGTAAAAGTGCTGGCTTAATTCCAGTTGCAGTGACTGTAGCTCGTATCTGAAACTTAATAGTGGCAGCAGCATCCGTGAAACCAGCATCTGTGGCATCTGCAGTGGCATTTGCAGTGGTAGTAGCAGTGGCAGTAGCAGGAGCAGCAGGGAAAACGGGGGCCGCAGCCGGAACGACGACAGGAACCTTTTCTTCTTCTGAAACAGTATTAGCATGCGACGGTTGCTACCATAGCCTACACCATTAGGTGTCACTTAAATAAATTGGAAATTAATAGGGTTGTTGTTGTTTTTTGATTGTTCATTTTAAAAAAATGAAGGTAAGGAAACAGTAATAAAATTTTATTTTGTATTTTGGCATTTTAGTTGTCTATTTTAGGACCGTTTATTTCTGGAGGCTTCACATTCGATGCCCAAAGATTTTTCATTTTTGAGCAGTAGATTGATAATAAAAAAATATGGGAACATTGTTTTTGACAGAATTCAATTTAGGAAAAAAATATTGATAAAAAAACATTTTTTTTAAAAAAAAACGGAGCTTGTCGATATTAATACATCTTCTATTTAAGATCTCAATTTATTTTGTTTCATGTCAGCAGCCTAAATCATACAAATCTGAGAATTCTGGTCCGTTATCCCTCAAAATCCGTTGACTTTAGGGTACTCCGGTCCGTTATCCCTGAAAATCCGTTAACTTTAGGGTACTCCGGTCCGTTATCCCCACAGATCCGATACTTAAGGGTTCCCTGATTACATTAAACTAATGACCAAAATACATTATAAGAAATTAGAATCGGTTCCGAAATGGTTCAAGCATTCTAAACTTGTATGGGGATTATCTGAGCTAATTTCACATCTAAGGTAAGTCGCAAATCATATGAGAACATCCTTAAACGTGCGCTGAATTTCAAAAACGTATATACAGTGCCCTCCAAAGTATCGTAACCGTTTAAGGTTTTCGTATTTGGTGTAATGACATCACATACTCATTCATAGGGAAACTTTCCAAACATTTTTAGTTTTCTGTTTTTTGTTATTATTAAGTTATGGATCCGGTTAACAGCGCTTCATAGGAAATATATAAGCTATTATCACTATTATAAGATGTTAAACACTTTTTTTTCATAACCTTTACTGAAACATTTTTATTCTAAACATGTAACCCATTTTTGAGTCTACCACATTTTCGTTTAGTCCAATGCTGCTCTAATGGTGTCATTGCTTTGGAGTCTGGTTCTAGTATTGGTGTATTGAACAGAGCTATAAAAAAATTAATCAAGATAACCTGTTCAATTAGTAGGCCTGTGAGGAATGGATCGGGGCAAGAGCAGAACAGAATAATTATTAGGGTGAGGACAAAAGAAACAGACATTATATATCTATTAGTATTAATACATATATAAAAAGGAATGAAGGTAGAAAAAGGTTTATTCAGAGGAGCAGGAAAAATAGATAAGATCTTGAATACAGAAATAAGAATAAATAAACATGCTGTTATTTATCTTTATTGACAGATTGGGTAAACAAAGGTTGGGGGATCAGATTAACAAAGACTGACTATTAGTCATAGGCCGTTCCCAAGCAAAACTTTTTTTACGTTTTGGGAACAAAAGTATTTAGCTCAAAATAGTAATTTAAACTATAAAAAAACATTTTACCAGCCAAAATTTATGGGGGGTTGGGCAATTTACAAATTAGTAATTTATACCCTCGTAGGTGGGGGCTATAAATTACAAAAAAGTAAAAACATGTGTGACATGACTTAAAATAATATTTCTAATTACTAAACTAGCATGTCTTATTTACTGGTTGTATATGGGCCACATTGCTATCCTCAGTATACTAAAATTATAAGCTAGTACTTATACTGGGGGGACCAAACCTTTTTACAAATCGAGTGATTTGTTTTTTGAAAATAATGTCTGCTTGGGAACGGCCATATTTAGTTTGGGACATCTTTGGGGTAGCGGGAATGAGCACATATAATTTCGCAGATAGATACAGAGGATAACATGAGCTGATATTATTAATGTTTTATAAGGGAGTTCAAAGGCAGAGTTACCAAGGGAACGCATGTTAAATGGTTTTACGAGCACAAGGGACAACGGAGATACATTATTTGGAACACAGGCGTTAGACAGGATACAATAGTGATGTTTGACAGTGACATGTGCGACAGGAGGCAGAGAACAGGGAACAGGTGGAACAGGTGAAACAGGAACAATGGGCTAGTTGGGTTTCAATAATGGTCTGAGACATTTTGGATGATTATATGCAATTGAAACATAGGCGGTTTATGACAGTCCTCTAACTATCAACCAGCGGGTTGACCGATCGTCTTTCAGTTTTCGATCGGCAGGTTAACCGTTCGTAAATTATTTTTTGGCCGGTCGGTTGACTGGTCGATATTTAATTGCTAAAACGTGGCTGTATTGTTCGTTATTTCAAAATATATGGAGCTTTTACAAAAACTGCGATAGCAGAAGGTCAATTATTGTGTCCAAGGCCTATTTGTATATTGAGCTGCAAATTTTATGGCTAGAAAAATAAACGCATTTTCAATTTTTTTTTACGCAATCTCTGCCATAAACTTGATATAGTCATACTCCTGATTATTATTCCGCCTAATCAGGTGTGCAAGGAATGTCCAAAAAGACAGAAGTTTACTATTTTGGTTGCCTTGGAATCTCCTGTAACGTCTTACCCAACATAATAATTGCCTGTGTTGAAGTTACGCAACTCCTTGTAAAGTATATCACTACAGGTGTCTAGTCCTAATGTTGTATTTTGTACGCATTATAATTAACCTGACTAAGTATTTCGATACCATGTCTTATATACCAAATAATGCGATTCGAATCATTTCTCATGGAAAACAATTAATATAACCTGTCCCTAAGCTTGAACCTGATAAACTTTTTGCTCTTTTTTAATTAAAGTTTTATACCACAAAAACCGTGTTGCTACAGATTTCTGACAGACGGACGATTGTAACATTGATTTGAAACATAAGCAAATAGTTTAAATATTTGGTTATAAAAACGTTTTACTGATAGCTATCAAACATTATTAGTGCTAAAATATTAAAGCGGGGGATTATAGGGAAAGCCCGTCGTTTGAAAGAAACAAAAAGAGCAGACAGTAATTTTGTAAAACTCGACTTCGATCTGTAAAACTAGCGGAGTGTAGTTATTATTTTATAAGAGATAAAAATGGCTGATGATTTATTAACATAAAGTGATGCTATTTATAATAGTGTGTCACGTGTTTCCGTAGCATGATAGATCCAATATAAGGCTATAAGATGACAACGAAATGCTTTTAATTTAGACATCTTACCCGTCTTTTGAAACGTAAAGCAATGAATGCCTATCGGTTTTTTTCTTACCATTTTGTGCGTATACAATGATCGTGGAATAGACATAAAACAGCTATTTCCGATAAAGTAGCGACAGTATTTAGTATAGGTCTCGGCTACTATTAAAAGAAGAACGCGAAAAAGAAAAATAGAATAATTCGAATTTTGCACCTACATACAAAAAGTCGCTTTCCGACAGGTACGCGATTGAATCCAAAATGCACATTGAAAGGTGGTGATGGACGTCAAATTTTTTTATCTCTCACTCACGTTATTGTTCGACAACAAAAAAAAATATCAGAAATAACCGAATTAAATAACGTGCATGTTAGTATCAAAAGCGAATGTAAGTACAAGGTAAACCAATCATCTTATAACAGATAACCAATTATTTTTGTTAGATCCAGAAAACCATGGCCATTTAATTAGTCAATGTTTGAGAATGTCAAACATTCAATTGCCATCCGAAGAAGGTGAGCTCTTTTTTTATCTTAAAATTGTATATATATTAAGATGTACATAATCAGAACAATCTACGGCCTCGCCAATTGAGGAGAGACCAATGGCTGTGCCACGAAAAAGAATGGCAAAAGAAAGCCAAGAGGGTTGCTCTTCTGGCAAAAAAAATCGTACGCCACAAACCCATACCTTGATGACGAGGCCTCGTGTCCAAATGACACTCCAGAACCCGATAGAACCAGTGTGGTCGCACCAGTAGAGGTGTCTACCACCTCCTCAAAGGAGGCCGATGCTATTATCACGCCAACTGTCGCAATTCGACAAAACATGTCGATTTTAAGCTCTCAACTGCGGCTCAAGGCAATCAGACTATTAAAAATACCTACTATGACAGCAACTACCGAGCAATAAGATATAGACAAGTTTCTGAAAGGCATCTTCTTTTACTTTAATGCCGGTCAGACATACGATGTGTTGGGAAAGTGCATCCAATACGTCGGATGCTATCACTTTTTCTGTTTCTTGGAAGAATCCAAATTACAAGGCAAAGGATTAGAGTGCATCTTCATTGTAATGTGCCAAAACGTAATCTGTGACATTTTTGAGCATTCATCTCCGACTAGTACAAGTAATATAAAAGGAAATTTATTTATAGCCAGATTTTTTTAATGTGGGGAGAAATTTTTTTTTTTTAAGAAAATTTTTCAGGGAAATATATTTTATTTGGGGGGAGTCTATATTTGTTTTTGTATTTTTTTTTTTTTTTTAGATTGAAAGTCATCAAGGAGCAACTAAACAGCACGTCTGTGGGATCGATATTCTTTGGAAAACTTACTGATAATATCTTCAGCTTCCATGACATCGTTACCCTTGCTGTAGGCGTCAATATATCTATAAGAACGATTATAATATCGTCTATTGATTTTAGGACCGAAAACAGCCTCATCATGGTCAAGAAACTCTTCGATTCTTGACTTCAGAGTGTCAAACGAGTAATCACATTCTATTCGTGCAAATCGTTTAGCTGCACCCCAATGTCTTTCAATCCAATTGCACTCACAATGGTACTTGTGAATATGACCTTTCAAATACATAAATTAAAATAAACAGCTAGTTGGATCTATTTTCAAAATAGTCTTAACTATATCTTTTGAATATGAAGTGTTTCTACTTAGTACATAAAGTTTGTTTTATTCTTTTTGTGCCTTACAGTGTTGATCATATTTGATCTCAGACTCTGATATAACGGGTTGTGGCACTGTGTACTTTATCTAACGAATACGACCCTTCAAATACATAAATTAAAATAAACAGCTAGTTGGATCTATTTTCAAAATAGTCTTAACTATATCTTTTGAATATGAAGTGTTTCTACTTAGTACATAAAGTTTGTTTTATCTTTTTTGTGCCTTACAGTGTTGATCATATTTGATCTCAGACTCTGATATAACGGGTTGTGGCACTGTGTACTTTATCTAACGAATACGACCCCTCAAATACATAAATTAAAATAAACAACTAGTTGGATCTATTTTCAAAATACTCTAAATTATATCTTTTAAATATGAAGCGTTTTTACTTAGTACATAAAGTTTGTTTTATCCTTTTTGTGTCTTACAGGGTTGACAGTAAATGTCCTCAGACTTTGATTTAATAGGCTGCGACACTACGCATGCGGGTACTCAAATTGAGAGTACAGGCAGTAAGCATTTCATGGTCCGAAGGCGGCAAATACTATACGCGGGACAATACTATTGGTCGGAAAAGAAAAATTTAAAATTTTGAACCTGCTTGTGACAATTATTTCCCCCCACACCTAAAATCCAGTTGTAAAAATCCCGGACACACTTTTTTTTTTAGAATAAAAACTTCATATTCTCATTTTAATCATGATTAAAATGATGTCTGTCCAAACATATTGGACTTTAATTATGAGGAAAGTGTGGTGGTCCAGTTTTAACGTTTCTCTCTGCTTAAAATTTTTTTTTGGCATATTGAAGTCCAGATGCACTCTATATAAGAAGCACTTGCAAGCAATCAAAGGTAAAACATACATGGCCTATTGCATACTTTAAAGATTTAACCTTCTTCCAATAGACGGTCAATCCAGTAAATACCAGACCAGACTTTTAAAAGCTGCCGGTAAAAGACTCAATGTCTTACTTAAGGACTTTAAGTACGGCGCTCTTGCCATTGTAATTCCTAACTCCGTTGCAGCCTTTGAGCGATGGAGCTGGGAAAAATTCCCAAAAATTCATTAGTGTGATTAAGCAGGATAAAGCCTTAACAAAGGAATTACAAGATCTTCAGCTTCACTCCTCTTTCTTAGAAAAAACTGGAGAATTAAATTACGTATATTATAAAGAAAGCGGCTAAATTCGTTCCAATCATATTCAAAATAATAAAGAAGTTCGTTTTTGCTACTTGGCTTTAATTCAAGGTCGTAGTGTTTCATTGATCCTAATTGTGACACAATAAAATATCAATACGAAAGACTTTTTTTTTTCATCCTCTCTTATCATTAACAAGAGCCACGGCTCTTTGCAAGGTAATTGACAAGATAATGGTAGTAATGTAGTGTGAAAGACTAAGGCGGTGCGTCGGTCCATGAGAGTGCCAGGTCCTATGAGAAGGAACCAGTACGAGATTTTTCTTTCATGTATAGCACCACCAGACAAATGTGGGAACGATACATGCAAGAACGATATTCTACTTAAAACAACGAGCTCTTTTTAATGGTTCTATGCTTGATCCAAAGAACGATGATCCCATTGACTTATTTGTCTTTTAGTACCTTACATTACGCGCACTACACTATTCTTCCCTCTGAAGGCCAAGCCTTGACACACATAGCACCCTTAATGAAAGTCGGAACTACATAAAGTTATAATGAACGCCTTCGAGGCTTTCTAGTGTTATATTTCTAGGGCAAACTTGTTTATTCGGTTTCATAGTTTTTATGAGTCTGAAGTTAGATGAATAGAGTCTAATGTTAGACTCATCTCTTAGATATACGGTTACCATATGTAAGAATCCGGTTCAAAAGATAATCGACACTAATTTTTGAGAGCATCGACGGTTTTTTCTATATAAGATTATAGGAATTAATAAACAAGTTCTAGTTCATGAGCGTTAAATTAGCCGCATGGTAAACATTGGCGCGATGGATGAGATTCTATCTCCCTGTATTAGGAGCGAAATATCAGCTTGATACCGGAATATTTGAGTGGATGACCCTATTTTGGGGATATTTATCAAATTGCGTAAAATAGTTTGCTTGTTTTGATTTCTCATTAATATACAATTGGCGAATGTCAAGAGCTGAAAGGCCGACAGGACAGACAGAATAATACTTGCTTCCAAAAACAGAGTTCTCCACCGAATGAAATTTAACATTTTTACTAAAATATAGCTAAAACTAGTACAAAAATGATATGATCAGTTTTGACCACATGACTAATACGTTCATGTTATAAATTTCCCAGAATCAAGTGATGCAGTGTATAGAATATATTATACACAACCACAGCAGCCATTGCCTTTCTAGGCTGAGTCACACACGGTTGAATGATAATCCCAAAAATAAATGAAATCCATTGGATACTATTTTTTTTAAAAAAAAAAGAATGCATAGCGTCCCCCCAAGGCTCCCCATTAAGACAAATTTGTGCATCATTGTTATTTTGTTTACATCCCAAGTGTCCCCCATCACTTCAGATCCGCCCCCAAATCATGTTTGCATGACGTGGACGGCTTTTCAAATGAACTTAACAAAAAATTAAAAAAAAGGTCCTTTACGTTTTTTTTTATAACAAAATAATGTGTGAATAAATATATCCAAAAGTTTGGTAATCTTACGATTTTTTCCAAACTACAACGCGTGTTGAGAAGCCACCAAATGCTACCGAATTTTGATTTGTGAATACTCAACGTCGAAGAAGTGTCGTAATCCGAAGAGATAGGAGGTTATGACATGTCTAGCACGAATTCAACGCGATTTTGTTCATGACCAGCAATTACAAAATCGTCACCTGGTAGTCTGCGAGTTATAACGTTGCCAGCAACATCTAAAACGCAGCTTTCATAAATACTTGATTGTGGACCTTGCGAAAAGGAGTCATGACAAACGAAATCATATGCTTGGACGAGGAAGTCTTGGCCGTTTTTCATAACAATTTTACCAAGGGAAAGACCGCTTGACTTGGAACTGTTACCATTGCGAAAGACACCAGTAGTTCCAAGTGCAAGCATTTTCGGGCTGTTGTTGTTGTCTAATAATGCAAGCTCGCTTTGATTAATCGTTGCATCAAACGATTCCAGAACTTTGACGCCACACGTTTCCCAAACTGAAGAAGACGAATCCATAACGAATAAACCACCTTGACTGATATGACGAAGCATGAACTCTTCGGCAAATCGAACAGCAACATCTCGCCCACCGTTCTGTCTGTTAGTATGGCACAACAGCTCACGCATGAGCTTGTGTTGCTGCTCACCTCTTTCAGTCTCGGTATGAGGACCACCGGAAAACCGTTCAACATCTTGTTAAATATGGATCAATAAATGGTATATCAGTCGGTTGCACAATGACGAAAAGTTCATTTTGGTGATAGCTTCTGTTCCAGCAGCAGCAGATCTTCTTCTAGTCAAAACGGTCGTATGATGTAAGTTGTCCATAGCTGTGATAATCTTTGACACAGTTATATCTAATATTTGCTTGTAGTAGTGAAAATTGTCGATTTTTTCCATGTATACCAGTGAAGCGAGTAAGCCGAGATTGTCAAAGCATTCAAACATGGATGTAAACGAATCTTGATTTTCATCGAACAATGAAGGATTGAAAAAGTTTGCTTTTTGCAAAAGTGTTGGGAGTAGTTGTACGAGGATTTTGAAATCTCTTCCGACAAAAGAGCGAAATGCGGTTAATGAAGATGTAAGGTTGCGATGCAATGCTTTGGAGTTGTAGTTTCGGAACAATTGAGTTAACAGTTGAAGCTGTACATCCTTTAAAAAGAAGTGATGAGCGAGTTTAAAACAGTATTTGGTCATTCCCAAAAGCAAAGTGTGCAAGATTTCTACAGGCCAATCTTGAGACAAATCGACCGCCTCCAACTTAACAAATCCTCAGCACCTGTCAGCTTAAACCCGATTTCTCCCCATTTGTTCGAACTTCCAGGTTCTTTTATGTTTCCTTGGTTTGTTACCCGCCATCTGTTAGGAAGATAAACCGGGGATGCACGCTCTGGTTGTTCCGGGTTTACAAAGAAAGAAAATCTTCTAATGTTCTTGACTCAGCAGTGTACGTTTCGGAGCTATACCTCAAGGCTATTGGCTGTTTTCCAGTGGTCATAGGCTTTGGTGGATCAGCTTGCCAATAACAGAATCTACATGGGTGATTAGCCCTTGATCCTTTGCTTAAGGCTAGTTCCGCCTGACGAACGTTGTCTCCACGAAAAAACAGTACATGTGCAATCACAAAAACATTTTTTTGAAGTTCGGCATCATACATCACTATTCCTTTTTCCAACTCGAGTAAATCTTCTGTCTAAGGCTTAACCATTTCCATTGCGGTGACTTTGTGATTACTGGTACACAAGAAATGATTTTCGTACTTGTTGCTCTCCTCAAGATCGAACGCAGCAATGTTCATCACCCAGCTGTCGAAACAGTTCCATTTTTTAGATCTATTGCTGCTAGTATCGTCCGAAAACAAAGAAATAGGAACTACCCGAACTGTCATTTGTCGATTCGAACTGACATATGGTACTCGCTCACGAAACTTAAGGCCTTCAGTCATCATGACAAAATGGCGAGGAATCAGTTGATTGAAAGATGTATATATCACTTCACCATTATTGTCAATTATTTTGGAGCATAATCGAGGATGGCATTGTTCATGAAGCTGCAAAACCGTCATACAAAAAAGTATATCTGTTACGGGAATGTTGGATCCAGTTGAATCAATAGCTGCTGACTGGACATTATCTGTAAAATCGATGGGAAAAACGTTGACAAAGAGGCCATCGTTCACTGTCAGAAGTTTAGCGATAATATATAGCTGTTGTTGGCGTTGTCGTTGATTTGGGCGGGTACTGACTACATCACCAATCCAAAAATCCGTATCAGCATTTGTGTATTCTTTAGCTACCATTGGCGACTGGAAATGTTTATTATCTTTCCATTTCCGTCCTTGATTCAAATGATAACGCTGGTTTGAAGTGAAATCTGGCAACGATTTAAAAAGTTTAGTTTTTTGCTGATTAGCCATAACCAAACGCAAATGATTCGAGGGCTTTATGAAAAATAATTCCACAGACCGGTCATCTCCCTTTGGAATAGTAGCCTTATCAACTTCAAGACGAGGGAATTTTCTTCTGGTGTCATGGCTTTTGCAAATACGATCATCCTTTGGTATGTTGCGCAGAGGATTAAATCCTTCTGGTCTTGGCTGAATCAAATCCCTTTCTTGATGGGATATTGTAATCAATTCGCGCAGCAAATGCATGGTCTTCTTTATTAATCGGATGGATGTTCTGTCTTGTGAACCCTTAAAGAACATCAAGATCTTCATTTCCATTTCATTTTTAAAAGGATAAAAAGGATTAGAGCTAAAGACAGATGTACTTTGATAGGTATTAGGTCCTTCAACTTCATCATTGCCTGACTCAGAAAGAGACTCATCATCAGATTCAAACGGATAGGCAAGGTTAGCACCGTCATCCTCTTCCGAGCTATCAAAATAATCATTGGCATCGGCGGTTTCAGTGGTTTCATCTACTGGATTATGGTATCGTTTGCAGGAGTACTATCAATGATGTTTTGGTAAGTATATGTATTTTTTGAAGTCTTTTTTGTTTTTATAGTAATTCTTACTCAACATGTGCGTTACTTGCACGCCCATGGATGATTCTTTGATGACGGTTAAAGTTAGTATTGGTTGCGAGATTTATGTTACAACTTGTGCAGAAAGTATCATCATTGTGAATAGAGAATACGTTGAAAGACATTGCTTTGCGTTGTGAGTATAATTGAAATTATGAAGTTTGGCAAAACATTTTCACTGCCTTCATTTATAGATTTGGTCTCATGCAGTGTAACAAAATGCTGATGCTTTTAAATTACATTTTTCTTTTTTTTTTCTTCTTTCTCTCTTCTTTCTTTCTTTTTAATCAAAAATATGATTAACTTGCGTTTTGGTTTTAAGAAGCCATCGTCTTAAGGTAATTAATACACATATTATAAGAACCTCGTTAACAGTTCATTAATCAACAGGAAATTGAATGCAAGTATTGCTTTGTGTACTGTGGGTAATATACACGCGTTTTTGTTAATCCTTATTTTCTGTGCATTTATTAACATATTATATCTTCTCCAAAGCTGCTTTTCACTCTTGGCGTTCTGAAACCTAGTAAGGTATGACATTTCCATCTTTTTCATATCATTTTTTCTTTATAAAATGATTTTTTTTAGTGTATTGTTCCCTCTGTTTCTCCCTCTCTTAAAATTACAAGGTACGCGTGTTTAGGATAATACCAATACTACCTTTATGTTCTCTAACATGCTTTTTACAATAGTATCTTCCTCTTTCATATTTTGGTATTTGCTTTTATCGCGTTACGACTGGGCATCCCCATCCAAAGCAACCGTTTTTTATGATTATTTGTATACATTTGTATCCAATAAAATTTTATTATTTTGATGCTACGTAATCGCTTTTATATCGTTTTTTGACCCCCAATGAAGACCCCCAATAGACCCCCAATAGACCCCAATAGACCCCCAATAGACCCCCAATAGACCCCCAAAGAGCACCCCCAAAGACCCCCCAGCTCACTTCCCCCCATTCCCAAAACGGTTCGAAATCATTCACCGATGTTTACAAATAAACCTGCAAAAAAATCCTCTGGGTGTGTAAGTAGGAGTCACTTGAAATTAACTTGCTACTTCCATATTTTTTTGGATGGAAAATGGGAAAACGTGCTTAAATACTAGCGAGTACGGAGGAAGTTATTAAAAATATCACCAATTGGTATGGTTGATACTTTTTTGCCAACAACCAGTACTGATAAATAATTTTAATAGTTTTAGCATCATAAAAGAAATGTCTCCACTTCACATGGGGTAAACATCAACGGAATTGACACCGTATGTACCTTCACAATTTTTTAAATACATAAAAAACTCGACAATATAAACAAATAATACTTTCTCGGACACTTCTAAAGGACTGACCCAGTTTAGACAGCTTAAGAAGAACACTGTAGGTTCATGGAACAAGTATGAGAACAAAACACCAATTAATCGCCACCAGCCAAAAGATACCTTAATAAAAGTATAATTTACTTAAAGGGAAAAATAGTTTTCAGAAGTCGAAAAACATTTTTAAAGAGGTAGGAATAGTTTTAATAAAATGCCAATAGCCTGGGCTGTCTAATTACATTGTTAAAAAAGTCTCTACCATAAGGGAGGTAAGACACGACACAGTCAGACATAGAAGCCAAAAAATAGTTGGGTCAACTACGCTAAACTTTTGACGGACACAGTAATAAGCCTTTTTATAATAATGCTAGCTTTAAATAGAGTATCTATCTACCAAACATTACGGACAGAAAACAATTATTGATCAGAAAACCAGAGAAATTAGCAAAAATGTCGATGTTACAGAATACCTATTAATTATACCATATGCTTAAACAAGTAGTACTTGTAACAGTTTCATAATTGACTAGCTCGTGTTGAAACAAAATATGAACACGAAACAGTCATTGTTTATGAAGTAAGTCTAAAATTGTTATATTAATAATTAAAAATCGCGTACAAATATTTGATTAACGACATCAAGTGAGAGCGGAATATCTGTGACGGTGGTAGTACTTGGTAGGGCAGCTTTAATTAAAATATAGAAATGAATCAGCAATGACACAAAGTGAGCAATAAATTTACTAAAAACACGAATAGTCAGTAGTTGCTGGAATTTTTTAACAAAGCAGCAAATTTTGGCAGATTTAAATACTTCTGTCCTTTTCCAAAGACTCTGTCAAATACATACCAGATAGGCAGAACATGAACTGACACAGTAATCAACGAAATACGCTATAAAATAAATAAAAAAGGACACATAAACAAAAACAGAAAAATATTTCTCAGAAATTGAAAAAAATTTCAAAGACTTGGGAAAATATTTTTTAGGTCTAGAATAATTATCTTTGAGCGTAAAATCTATTAAAAGAAGAGTAGAAAGGACGATAGTTTGTTTATATGTCAACTAGTGGTAATAAATGGCTAAATTGTAGCGATTTGTTACGAATTCGCTCATAAGTATATTGTAGTGACGTACAATATAAGCTCTAATAAGAAATCATCAAAAGAACAAGGCGATTATTTATACGTCAAACATTATCTTAGAGTGTATTTATAGAATGACCGCGCGTAAGAAGGTAATAACTTCTAAAGCATGAATAATGACAGGACTCTTTGTAACCATTTCCGAAAATATTTTAACCAAACAAAAAGATCTTCGGATCATGTTTTGATACAATAGTTGCAGTAACGATGGACAGGAAACCAAAAACTTCTGACAGTTTATTTAAAACTTCTTAGTAGGTTGCTAGTGATATAAAATTTTTTCAGTGTCTCGCCCGTGTTTGTGCCAAGTAAAAGAAAAATTGATCAATGACTGAGAAAAAAGTACCGACATGTCAAAAAAAAAACCAAACAATAGGTAACAATAGGTAAGTAATGACCATTTGCACAAAAACCAGAATAGAAGGCAGATTGAAATACTTTCAGATTACGTTAAAAACTACGTACACCGCGAGCAAAATCAGTAGTTAATGAAATGAATCCTTATTGAACTAAATGTGTCCTTGAATAAGTAAAAAATGAAAATATCACAAGATATTGTTTTTAAGACAGATTTAAATGACCACAAAAACAGAAGTAATTAAAACAACATCTTATGCACTTCTCGCAAGAGTTTGAAAACAGGAAACTAAAGTGTGGTATCAATCAGAAAGAGATTGCCAGAAGGAAAATATTTTATGGAAAGACAGAAAAGTCTTTCTTAGAAGTTGAAAAGTACTTAAAATGCTTATAAAAACATCGTAATAATGTAACTAAGCTGAAAAAAGTCACCCCAAGCTGTTTAAGCAACTACAAAAAAGTCCATCACCAAAAATGATCAAGTGAAGGACAAAATAATAAAGTAGGAACTATAAGGTCGGAGATTGTTGTGTAAAATATAACAAACGATATGTGACCACATAATTAAATGTCTGTTTAATCGATCTAGCACATAAGAGGGCGACGTCCTAGAAAATATAGTAAGGATTAAACAACATTAAACAAAGTACCAAACGTACGAAGCCAATATAGGAATTGGTGGAAGATACATATTCTATCAAAGGATCTTGTTCATCAACGGTTTTTGAAATAATTTCAGCGTAGGCCAGAGAAGTATTCCACCAAGTACAACGAGTTTACAATCATCATACAATCGTCATAAAGTCTATATGGAGTAATTACAGAGAACGAGATAAGGTTTTTATCGGCCGTATAAATGAAATGAGACATGCTGAAGAAGATCTGGTATTTCCAAGCGTCTTTTTGTGTGGGATTTATTGTTATTCCATCAATATTCTCAAAGAATAGACATATTGATTAAAGAGACGAAAATGGTCTAAAATAAGTTTGTTACGACCACATCCGAAAATGAAGGAGAAGCCGAATGGATTTAGATTA